CCCCCCCTCCCCCCCGTAAGGTAGTGTCCTAAATTATAGGGAATTAATTATTATTTTTCTTAAATATACTATTTAGTCCCCCATTATTTTTTTAATTATTTTTTTAAAATTATATCCCTATTAATTATTGGTTACTTTATTTTTTAATTTAGTCTTTGTTATTTTTATAAATTTTAATTTAGTTCTTGATATCAAGTTTTAACTCAATTTATTGCTAAAAAGAGAAAAAATCTTCAAAAATTGGATTGAAATTTCAATTTTTTTTATAATGTTTTTTTTAATCAAATTTTCAAGTATTATATTGTGTAAATTTATCATCAAATAACTCTAATATTCACTAATAATAATAAAAAACAATTATTATGGACTAAATTAAAAAATATAAAATATTAAAGACTAAATCATATATTTAATAATAGAATTTATACTTTAGTTCATAATTTTCAAATATTTTTTAATTTAGTCTCTAATCTTATAAAAATGTAAATTTACTCATTTTATAAGTATCTTTATTTGAACGGGTAAATAATAATAATAATAATAATAATAACTTAACCTAGTGCTTTTAATTTTTGTATTTTTTAAAATATACCCGTGTCTTATAATTTTGGTATATTAAATAAAGATCACGAATATATAAATAAAAAAAAATATTATATTTTCATTTCTAATTAATATTACGATGAATAAAAATAAAGGAAAATTAAAAAAAAATGTTAATTAGGGGTGATTTGATTGATGAGATGAGGAGGAATCCCCAATCATTCATGGTGGCCTTCGCACATGCTCTCACAATAGAATTTTGATGTCTTGTCGTCCTATGTTCTTTTTTTTTTTTCTTTTTTTTTTGTCTCTAATTATTTAATTCAAAGAATTTGATAACTTTCTCCCGAAAATTATGCTCAACCTCACATTTTGTTTGGTTTAAATTAATCCAAACATTTACTATATTTAAACAATAATTATTTCCTAAATTAATAATAATAGTAATAATTTGACTATAATTTATTTCCCAAAATACCTTAGCTTTCAATCCAGAAAATAATGTTTATGAACTTAATTTTTACATATAAAATTAATTTATTATTAAATTGAGCGTGAGTTTAATTATTTATAGAGTTAATTAATCTTTTATATTTTATAAACATATTTGGTCACTAATTTTAGGTGTATAATTACAAAATTTAAAAAATATAAGCTTTAAATCATAATAAATTAAATTTTAGAGTATAAATTATTACTTTCTATATTTGATTTTTTTTTAATTTTTAATTTTAAAATTTTCATTATGTGGTTGAATGATTTGAGGTTGATTAAATGAGATGATGGGCAAGAAAAAGCTTGCTACTATAAATTTAAAACTTTTTTTTTTTAATAATTTTTTTAGTAAACTCTTATTTTCTTTTTATTTTAGTTATTTTGTTTTAAGAAATGACCTCCGACAATTACGCTCAACCTCAACTTTTGATTGGTTTAAGTTAATCCAACCATTTACCACTAAATTATTATTATTTATTTGATTCGAAATAAATCAGTGTTTTTCCCCCGGAGGTGAAGTTTATTATTATTATTATTATTATTATTATTATATATATATATATATATATATAAATATAAAGATATATATATATATATTTTGCTTTCTCATGATTGGATTCCAAGTACTTGTTAAGAAAGGACACCCAAAAATTATGCTCTACCACAATTTTTAAAAACAAATTATTTTTAGTTAAATATCTAATAACTAAATATGAATTATTTATACAATTAGATTCCAACGTGTATTTATTGTCCAAATAATAAGCATTTATTTATTTCTTTTAAATGGCATTTTTCTAGCTTTTGTTTAGGGTTTTTATTTTTACAGATTATTTTAACTGACATGGTTTGAAGCTGCTAAGTTTGATTTTAAAACTATGAGAACCTACATCGATTGGGGAGAGGAAGGAGTACTAGCGGTTAGAGAGGTGAACGAAGCATTCTTGATAAGAGTGTGAAAACCTCTCCCTAACAAACACGTTTTAAAAACCTTGCGGGAAAGCTAAAAAAGAACCATATCTATTAGTGGTGGGCTTGAACTACGGTTACAAATTATATCAAAGCCAGTCATCGGATGGTGCGAGACACTGGTCAAAGTTGGGCTAGACCCTCTCCATAGTAGACGCGTTTCAAAACCATGAAACTGACGGTGATACGTAATGGGCCAAAGCGGACAATATCCGCTAGTGATGACCTTGGGCGGTTATAAAAGATATCAGAGCCAGATACCGAGTAGTGTGCTAGTGAGGACGCTGAGCCCAGAAGGAGGGTGGATTGTGAGATTCCACTTTGATTGGAGGGGACATCAGACGGCGTGCTAGCCCTAAAGAGGGGTGGATTGTGAGATTTCATATCGGTTAGAGACACCAGACGATGTGTTAGTCTTGAAGGGGTAGATTGTGAGATCCCACATCAGTTGGAGATGGTATGAAAACCTCTCCCTCGTAAACTCATTTTAAAAACCTTGAGTAAAATTGATAATATCTGCCGGCGGTTGCTAGAATTAGCTTATGGTGCTTCGACTTGAGAGTTCGTTAAATGGGGACGGTTTTATTGTTGAAAGAAGTCGGGTGTCGATCGAAACTTCCTTTATAATAATTTATTGGATGAACATTTGATGTCAATGATGAGAGTGATTTGTGGAAATTATTAGATATAGAAAATGGCATGGATAGAAAGGGTTGTATCAAAATAATTTTGGTACGATAAATTAAATTAAATTATGATGGGAAATGTTCCTAAATAGTGAAATTGACAAATACAAAGCTACATTAATTTAAATATATAATTATATTTTAATTCATTATCTTATCAAGAACAAATAAAGTTAGCCAATATTTTGATAATATTATGATAAATATTTTAATTTAAAAGGGTTTTTCATTTTTATTTTATTTTTTTCTTTCTTTTTTCGAATATGTATTTGTATATAATTATCTTAAACCGAGGTCTCTATTAACAAGAAGTTGGTGGGCCGACTTCATATATGATTCTGTATGTGGGCCGACGTACTGGAACTTGGGCCGATTTCTTCTCCAATGTTACGGCCCAAATAGAGGTGGAATTCACAGGTTGCTCTATTAAAGGTACATGTATGTTACTTTTTTTTTTTTAACCAAAAAAAAAAAAAAAAAATCATTCCAAGTGATATCATGAAAAATATGAACCCGACTCTTGAAAGTAGGACATGCATAAAAACAAACAGACCCTTGTGTTATTCATTGTTTGTTTTCGGTGTTATTCCTAGCAATGATAAGTGTGAGGAAGAACCAGGTGACGACGTCGTTGAAGGTAGTGACGACCATAGCAATTTAGCAAACTTCGATAGTGAGATGTCTGAACTCAACTAAAATGCAAGTGAGAACAAGAGAAGGAAGATGGTGGACAAGACGATGCACATGAATACAATGAACTTATCGTATAAGACGATGCTCATGAATGCGATGTTCTTCAACTCTAAAGAAGATATTAATCCCGTCTCGTTACATAAATAAATAGATTTGAATAAGATTGGTTTTTGATTCATTACATTGCATGATGCCGCCAAAAGGGTAAAGGATATGGAAAGAGCATTGTGCAGAAAACTCCCCGCCAAATCCAAATGCCTTGCTTCTCCCACTAAACTACAATACAACACAAAACCACAACTTCTTTATAATGCCAAGGGTAAATTTCTAGTTTAGCTTGGTAAAATTAGACTTTTTTTACCCTGATTTTTTTACCACAGCTAAAATTCATAAAAAACTGACATAAAATTTACTGCATCAGAAAGAAAGAAAGATTCTGTACCAAGATTTGTACAAGTTCAACAGATGCACACTGCAAAAGTTGCCATTTATCTATCTAAATTTGATATCTTTTTGGTTTTATTTTTCCCCTTTAAAAAGAAGTTCATAGGTTCCAAATGAAACTTGTTCCCCATGCAAAGCCCCTACTCACCATCTCACATGTACGTGTCACCATTTTGCAAATCCCACCACCATTTATAAACACCTTCCAATGTCTTTCTTCCTTCCAACTTTTCTTTGCCTTAACCAAAATGGCTGATCGTCCACAACCACACCAAATACAAGTCCACCCCCAACGTCGCTACGACGACGTCGGTGCCAAGGGACGAGCAGGTCCTTCAGCCTCCACAATCCTCGCCGTTGTGACCCTCGTCCCTCTTGGCGGCTCACTACTTGGACTCGCGGGTTTGACGCTGGCAGTCACGCTAGTTGGCCTGGCTGTGTTCATCCCGGTTTTCATCATCTTCAGCCCCATTCTGGTGCCAGCAATCTTAACCATTGGTCTGGCTGTCCTTGCCTTCTTGACCTCTGGGGCATTTGGACTCACGGCTCTCTCTTCACTCACATGGGCTTTCAACTACATACGCCGGGCAGCCGGGTTCATGCCTGATCAGATCGACCAAGCAAAGAGACGCATGCAGGATATGGCTGGTTATGTGGGGCAGAAGACGAAGGACCTAGGGCAGGAGATTCAAAGCAGGACCCAAGAACAAGGGAGGAAGACGTAATCTAGACAAGGAAAATGGCCGAGTAATGTTTGAGTCCTGTAGCCAAGCCAATGTTGGAATTGTTGTTGGTCTCGAGTGTTTCTTTCGAGTATTCCTAGGATAGTTCACTTTTGAGCTACTTCTAGAATGCTACCGTTGGTTTGCATTTCTACTAGTTCCAGTGTACTGCTTGCTTCTCTATCTGTTATTACTTACTAGACATGCATTGGTCGTTAAACCTATCTTCTATCCTCTCTCCTCTCAAGAATGTGACGCACCATGTTCCCAAATCAAACTAGGGAGTGAAAATAACATAAAAATGATTCAGATACATAAACTATAGCTGACCTGTGTAAACTAAGATTTGTAGGAGTTAGTTTGGTGGTTTGATAATCCATAGTAGAATGCGTGTAATTATGGCTTTCATTGAGATAGATGTTCTCCTTGAGAACGAGCTTCGAATTCCATACCCGACTCGCCTGTAGACTTCGAAGTGTTGGGGATCCAGAATGTGAGTACAGTGGATGCGGCAACGAACATGACCCTGCGAGGAGCCCATTTCAAGCACGAGGCAACGCCTATGTGACTGTTCCAGCTTGCAACCTGCGATTACCATTGATAAAAGCACCATATGATGATCATCCTTTTCACAATGGAAACTAAAAGCCTGTAAACAAATTTGAGATGAACAGGTACCTCAGTACGCTTGTTAATGTTCCAGGCATGCAAGGTTCCATCTCCTGAGCCTTCAGCACAAATTAAAACAAAATATTTAGTGATGAATTGTGATCGTGTGCAAGAAAACATGCGGGGAAAGAATCAAGTGGGTTTGTAATGGGATTAATACCCGGATATAGCTATTTAATTTTTAGAGAAGATATTGAACTACTTTTAATAGATTTTGCTTAAGCCAATAGTAATTGTGAACGAAGGGGGGGATGAATCGCAGCCGGAGGCACAGCAAACCGAGTAAGATAGAAAACAAGAAAAGCATTGGCAGTCGAAAAAAATAGTTTACAGAAGCAAGGCAAGTTTGTCACCTGATACAACGTACTGCCCATCTGGGGTAAAGGTAGCCTCTATGGTTGTGTTGGGAGATGGTTCCAAGCTGAACCCACATTGCTGAACGAGGGAGATACAGGATCGATTAATAGAGAGCAGGGAATAACATAAATGATGTTTCTTTTACCTCTGTGAAGTAGCAAAATAGAAGTTTAAAAACCCAAACATGCAGACTAACCTTCTCTCCTCCATATGCATCAAGAACATATATATTGTTATTTGTAGTTGTCAAGAGCATAGATTTGCCATCATTACTAAATTTGATGTCAAAGACTTCAGCCATATCTCCACCAACCAAGAAGGTATCGAAGGGTCCCTGTATATAAATGGCGATCAACTCATGCCAAAAACGATATCAAGAAATGAGGTAAATGTTTCTCCAGTATGAACCTTGTCGTAGGAACGTGAATCGAACAACTTAATAGCACCTCCTTCCATTGCCACAGCAAACACAAGGCCTTGCTGGTCATACGCAACGGTAGGTCTGCCACGTAAGCGAAGTATTCCCTGGAAACTATGAAAGTAAGCACAATCATATTCAGGTGAATGATGAAATTGCGATCAAAATGCTATAGAGAATTTTAATTTTAGGTTTTAAAAGTGTTAAGACACAATATAGCACGTTCACCCACGACGAGTACTCATCCGTTTTCTCCTATTCACGTGCGTTCGAATTATGCGTGGGCGTAAATTCCTGAGAGCTATTCACTTCAATGTTCTAGCAGAGCGGGATATCAAGTCTCCCTGTTATACAAGCCAAATCAATACTAGAGAGATAAGGGAATTGTCATTCTCGTGTCCATCGAGAACACTACATTTCAACCTCGTTTTAAACAATCGTGCCTATCCAACGTACCAACTAATATCACCTTTCAGAAGCCCAACTCAGATCAATCATCCAGTTTTGATCTCATCGGATTGTTGGTTTGAAACCTAGAAGGCAACGGTTTGCTCACTTCTAGATCTCTCAGCAATGCGACAATGCCCTTGTGTCCGGTGGAAATAGGGCTCACGAGCTCCTTTATATGTATGTGGGGAAAGGGAATTATATTCAAAGAATATTTTTATTTTTATTTTTATGGGAGCTTAGCCATTGCTGTATAAACATCCATGATGTTCTACGACGGGTCTCTATTTCTCCAAATTGGCCTTTGCAAAAAAGATGATGAAACACAACAACACTACTCATTTCTTGTCCTCAAGCATATCTGGAGAATTTTATTGGCAGCTTTTAAATGGTCTACAGCATTACCAGGAGATCCACGTTCATTACATGAAGCTCTTTTGATTAGGCAGACAGTCACCCGTTCAAGAAGGAAGGGAGGTCTTATGGCTTAAGCCGCTTAACCTTATAAGGATCTTCTTAAGGTTCATATGGAATGAGAGGAATCATCATATATTTCACTGGCAAGGAACAGATATCCTGTTCCAGTGAAAGCCAAACAATCAGCTTCAGTGTTCCTAAAGTTGAGCAAGTCGAGTTTGATTCTCGCCATGTTATATTCTTAGTTCTTTTGTCAATAGGAGGATTGAGTATTAGCGTCAGTACAGTAGTAGCTTTATATTCCACAAAAGAGGTTTGTGGATTGAATTGTCCCGTATAGACACATGATTCAGCCCATACAATTATTAAAAACCATTCAACCAAACCTACAGTTGGCTCAGGTTCTTTTGTTCATGTGTATTTGTGTACTTTCAGTGTATTAATCTTTTGAGGTTTTGGCCCCGTGTGGCTGTTAGGGACATGTATATATTTATACTTCTTCCTTCTAGGACATAAGAAATTATCTATCAGCATATGGAGTTCCACCTTCAAAGAAAGCTCTTTCAAGGAAAACTCTTTCTAATGAAAGCTAAGTGTAAATACATGATAATCTGAAACCAACCTGGCAGGCATTTACTCGAAGATCCCATATCCTGACACTGTGGTCGAGAGAACCTGACATGAAGCTGTCATTGATTGGAGACATGCAGAGCGAAACAACCCTGTAAATCACAAAGGAAAAAATGGTAGTCAGACAAAGTACCTCAGTGGTATATGGAACAAAGGATGGTGATTTTTCTTATCATTTATAGATGGACTTTTGGAAACCGTCGAGAAGGGTTATTGAGAAATTCTCGGGAAAAGCAAAGTAGAGAATTTCAAATGAGTCTATTGCATACTACCACAGATTGTGAATATGGACATGCAACGCAATAAAATCACTTTAAACATCCCCACGAAAAAAATCCCATCCAATCTCAGAAGTCTTAGTAAGGTAAACGATGAAGGCTCAAAATTGGACAATTCCTTAGAGACTAGGCACATTCTTTTTAATGAAAGACCAAACTTTTATTTAGAAAAGAAAAAGAAAAAGAAATAATACACGGGCATATAAAACTAATAAAGACTAAATGGCTCCAATCAAGTAAAATAAGACTAAGAGTGTAATTACAAATAAGATGGGCACATTAGTTTGTTAAATAGAACAGAGCATATGTTTACTTTCTTCATCTATCAATTAGCCATTGGATTTTACCTCTCTTTATGTCCTTTGAAGTAGCGAAGACATCGGTTATCATACATTGATAGGTATCGCAGTGACTCTGGAGAGATAAACAGAATAAATGCAGTTAGTATTCAAAGTCAAGAAGTGCCATCAAAATTTCAAACACCCGAAGAAATTTACCTACCTCCAGTAGTATCTAAATTGTATCTTGAAGAGCATATAACGGAACTTGGGTGATGGGTAAAGCATATACGATCAGCACCATGCTTTTTATGAAATGTGGTTTTGAGTAACCTAAAAATTTTAACCAGTTGGATTGAACTAAATCCCGTTAACAAGATTATAAACGATAAAATTGATCAAATGGAGAATTCTCGAATTTCAAAGAGGTTAACCAATGTCATCAAAAGTGTTGAGAGATATCGATGATTCATGTATAAACAATTGGAGAAAGCAAAGTCATAAGTTAAAAGGTTTAATAACGTAAAGCCTACAAAAATCTAACCTGGCATTCGCAATATCATACAGCCGCACGGAATCATCCTCACTCGCCGTCACCAGCAAATCATCCTTGCGATGAAAATCAAGAGAATTTATCTTCCCAACCTGCAAGCAGACAATGCGAACTTTTATAAGGAAAAAAAAAAAAAAACCATAATTCTCCGCACCTAAACTTTCTTTTTCAGTAGAAACACTCTTCGCAGGCACTCAAATAGACTATAAACTATAATTCAATGCCGCGAACGTAAATTTGTGCAACCAAATGTTCAAATGCATTGCCAGAATCTTCAGATAACCAAAATTTAATCTGAAAAGGAGAGAGGGAAGAACAGGAAAGTAATCCGATCATAAAAGGAAAACGATACTCACGAAGTCAGAGAAAACAGCTCCGATTGCCATGCTCCGCACAGTGCCGTCGTCGAGCTCGGTTAGCGCCATCTCAACACGGCGAAATGAGTCGATGGGGTCCCCTCTCGACTTCGATTCAGGTCGGGGGTTTTGCGCCAAACCCTTTATTCAGCGCAATAATTAATAAGAAAAAACAAGGTAAGTAAATAAATAAATAAATAAATAAATAAATAAATAAATATATATATATATAATTAAATAATTTGATTTGATTGCATATTTATCACTTTTATAATATTATGTGTTGATTTAAATTTCAATTAAACCATATTTATTTTATTGATTATTTTAATACTCTTAATTTTATTATTATAATATACTATTTTCTCCTTTCTTGAAGGAGATGTGAGTTTTTTCAAATCATGTTATTTAGTTTATTTGTTATATATATATATATATTTTTAAGCTTAATGCTTGATATGATTTATTATCTGATTTTTTTTGTTTATAAAAAATAATTTTAAAAACACTATTTAAATTTATATATTTTTTATTTTTAATAATATTAAAAAAAACTAATCAAAGGTTTGAATACTAACAAAATGAATTTCACAAATTTTGGTTTATTTATAGATTTAAGTGTTTATTTAGTAATAAAATAAGGTAACTAAAATTATAAATTAAAATATTTATAATACAAAAGTGAAAAATATATTAGAAGTATAATACTAAAATAAAAAAATAAAATATAAAAATAAAAGATAACTCAAGATTTTAATTTTAGGAATATATGGATAAAATATTTTTTTTATAAATCAATTAATTTATAAATTTTATTTAAATTAATAATTAATTAGTGTTTTAAATTATAAACGGATGGGATTATTGGAGGAGGAATAATAAATATAATTGTAAATAAAGCAAACAAAGCTAAAAATATTGAAGAAAAGTAAATAAAGTAATCTAAGAAATGAGTTTATACACATTTATTCTTTGATCCTAAAAAATTATATTTGATTGAATCAACTATTTTACTGAATTACCCTTGGTGGCAGTCTGGGAATAGAGACTTCTTTTCTTTATACATGAATTCGGTAAGAGGGGTGAAAATGGAAAACAAATTTTCACATTTGCTAAACCAGTTTCCTGAACTAAATAATAAAAAGAGAGAGAGAAAAAAAAAAAAAAAAAAACTTCATTAATTTTACACTTTTAACTCGGCATGAAAAATGCTCCAAAAAGAACGCCTCCTAAGCCATAAAAATGCTTAAATCATGTCTCTTTCTACCATTGGCGACACTTTTTTTACCTGTTTCCAAAAGGCTGGATGCTGTGGTTTCATGTTGAATTCTGGGATTATGTATGATATGGGGTTTCCTCCTTCAAAAGGATGCTTTCTGGTTCACTTTCAGGCTCCATGTCTGCATCTCGAGATGCGTCGTCGGACAAAGCGCCATCGTGGTCTTCACCTTCACTACTAGATAACCATATTAACTTCAAGTCTTGACCTTGCCAGGATTTGCCATCTTTGAATGCTCTTTCAGCTGAATGACGGGTTAAAAAAGTGACATTAGCTGAGAAGTTGTTGGATGCGTTTGAAATCCGATCGCCATCTTCCGAAACTAGCTCCACCGCACAAACATCACCCAACGATGAGAAATGTTTCTTTATCGCATCCTCCTACAATACAAATTATAACATGAAATTAGATTAAAGATCCCAGAAAGACAATCATAGCTTAAAAGATATTCAACTCCAACAAATTGAGCATGGTTCAACAGTAATTGACATATACACGACCAACCAACAACAAATTGAGCATGATATATACACGACCAACCAACAAATTCTTACCAAAGATGATACATCAAGAATCTTAAAGCTCTAAACAAAGACATTCTTGTTTCTCTCCAACAAAATTTTCCAAAAAGGTACTCTTGAATGCGTTGGTCAACAAAAATTCAGCGCCCCAAAACGTACAAAAGTTCACCAAGCAGAACCGTTTATCAAACTCTTGTTCCAAGGAATAAAATACTACAGGCTCCTTGAACTAAAATCATCAAGCAGCTATATGTTGTATACTATAAACAAAAGAATCTTATGAACTTGAAAAATCTTCAAAGATTTTATAGTCTCTCTTTTGGAACTGGCTAAAGCGTCTTCAACCTACCTAGAGAGGCAAATCAAATGCACAAATTCTTACAAAATAAAAGACCAGCCCTTAGCCGCGAAAGGACAATGAGACACAGATGATCTACGGATTCTTCCACATTTGAACACAAACAACAAAAAGGAGGGGAGAGGAATCAGAAAGAAAAACGACTTTGCAGCGTGTAATATGCTTCTTATACATCACTGATGGATGACGACAGAAAAATGGACTTTTTCAGGAATAGATGACTTCCACATCATCGTCAACTAATTAATCTCGGAGACACCACTCTGTTTAGCAAGGGAGAGGAAAGAAGAAAAGGTCCCCCAGATTCCAAAGTCCTAATAAGTTCATCTGCACCACCTCCTAGCTGAACCTACTCAATTTTTTCACAAAGGGCTGCCCGGATATCAATTTCCCAAATGAAGATGCCTCTTCTGATCCCATGTTTGTTGGTCTCAAAACCGAATACTCCTCCCATTTCCCACCATAAGCTTTGTAAAGCCAAAGAAAAGTTCTCTGTTTAGGCTGATGTCTACCCACGGAATTCCTCCAGCTTTTCGTTTTAAACTCTTTAGTCACCCACCCATTTGAATCACACCCATAAATAGCTGCTATCACTCTCCGCCAAAAGAGGTTCTGTTCTAGTGTGAATCTCCATTGCCAATTCAACGGCAGAAAGAGATTCCAGATATTGAAGACAAACGTATACCAAGTTGCTGCCCAGCTTATAGACTTCACTGCAACCCACAATGTCTCATATGTTCCTCTGCATGGGCTCTAAGGAGGGTAAATATGTAGGATGTAAAACAAAGCTTCTACCTTTAGATAGGAGAGAACCACACAATTAATCCAGCTTTGCTCTCAATTTATCAATCAACAGTTCCTCAAAGACAACCACTATTTTTTAAAGCTAGAGGTACTAAAGCGCAATGGCCCTCCGGGGCACAAAAAAAAAAGCGCAGACTTCTTTACGAGGTGCACAATATGAAAATGTATATAAAAGTTTAATGTATCAAGAAAAATAGTAGGATGAATAATAAGATGATGAAAAGTTAAAGAAAATCAAGCTTTATTCTAGATTGTAAGAATATTCATACTCTCTCTCAAAAATTAGAAAAAATAAAAAAGAAGGTAGGAAACTAGGTTTGAGGTGCTAAGACGCACACCACAAGCACTAAGGTGCTCACTGCGAGTTCATTCAGATAGCCTCATTTCTTTGAAGGAAGGCACAAAGGTTGTGCCTTGGCGCATGCCTCAGTGATTTTAAAAACACTAGACACGACTTCAAGAAGACAGTCAAGATAGGGAAACATAACGGCCTCAACTCTGTACCCGAAGGTATTAACCAACTCTTCCACCATGGTGTTGTTTACATTAATGCCAATTGAGAGATTCGAAGATGATAAACACAAGCCAAGAACTTCAGAATAAACCATCAATTTTTAAGTATCTTCAACGCACTCGGCAAAAAAAGATCGTATCATCAACATATTGAAGGTGCATAACTTCTACTTCTCTCTCCCTCATTTAAAGTCTTGAAGAATTCTTGTCTCACAACAATAGTGGATTGTACGGCTAAAAGAGTCTACCAAAATGGGTCTCCTTGTCTAAGACCCTTTACACAAAGATTTTTTCCTCTGGCCTACTATTAATGAAAATTGAGAAGTTTATGTCGAGATACACCCCCACATCAATCTAGACGATTTGTATCCAGAACTCTTGAATTCAAGAACGGCATCAAGGTAAGACCGATTGACTATATCATAGACCTTCTCCAAATTCATCTTTAACATAAAAACCAAATTCTTTGCTTCCCACTCCCCACGAATTTTGCTGCCACCAGTATCCCATCGAGGAGCCACATAATCAAGTGTTGAGAGCACCTATTTAAGACTTCCAACTTCCCTTTGGTGTTGTATAAAAGTTCTAAAGAGAACATGACACAAAACCCACATAGTTGAGTCAATGTGACTAAAGCTAATCATTGGAGCATTTGGTTTGAAAGAAACATAGAATATTTGGAAGGAAAAGGTTAGAATAGACAATATGAGATGGTTGTTCGTAGTCAAGATCCATTGTCCATTGTCCAACCAGGATCATAGAATAGACAATATGAGATGGTTGTTCATTGTCAAACTAGGATCAACAAATATAGTGGCTAGGGAGAAGGGATAATCATCTTTGAAGCCTAAATCCTTCTTTAAGGTCTCTTAAAGTTCCCTCTTTTGATGTCTTGTGAATCCCACTCCCTCTAGTGTGTCCATCTGCATCTCATTGTGAAAGGTGAAATTTTCAAGAAGGTTAAATTCTTCATGTGCAAGTCATCCCCAAAAAGGTGAAAACCTTGGATTGGTTATTGAGGAAGATTCCTAGTTTGGTACGGCAACTCTATTGCATTCTTTGTCAAAGAGCGACAGAAGACCTTGACCATATTCTTTGGAGCTATGATTTTGCTTATTAGTTTGGAGTTATTTCTTTGAGGTGTCAAATTTCTTGTTTGCTAGACACATGGGATGCAAATAGATGATCGAGTAGATCTTCACTTTCAAGAGAAAAGGGGGTTTCTATTGCAAGTCAATGTTTGTGCAGTTTTATAGAGACACTTGGGAGAGAGGAATAATAAGACCTCTAGAATATTTGACAGGTATTCAAGCGAGTTTTGGACCTTCATTAGGTTATATAGTTCTCTTTGGATTTTGGCGACAAAAGTCTTTTGTATTTGTCCTTTATATCTTATTTTTCTTGATTGGAGCATTTTTCTTTAGTTCGATTCTCTTTTGTGAACTAAGTTTTTTAGTTTGCCCTTATATAATTTTTTTATTACTATTATTTTCTCAATGACAGTTCAGTTATTCTTTTTATAAAATAACGGAAAAAGAACTATTAAACAAGACTATTTTTGGGTAGTCCTTGATTGAATATCAATTATGTTCCCTTTTGTTTGAGATAGTCCTTGCCTCAACTATGATCTCATCTTTCAGAACATCCTTAAAGGGCAAACAAAGAGTCTATAGCATCATCATCTAAGAGATTCCAGAAA